CCAAGTTGCCCAGGCGGGTCTTGAACCCGCGGGCTCAGGCAATCCACTTACCTCAGCCTCCCAAAGTGCGGGATTACAGGCTGAGCCACCGAGCCCAGCTTCCATACTGGTTCTAAGGCTTGACTGGCCGCCTGCCTGTCTACCCACCCCCCATCGTCTGTGCCCCTTTCCCAGCCCCGACCCAGCCATACCCGGTTGATAAGCTCGCCAACCATGCCCGTCCAGGAGCCGTTGGGCTCAGGGGCCCCATACAGCCCATCCTCCACCAACCGCAAACGGTAACGGAAGCGCAGCAGCTCGGCCAGCTCCCGCAGCATGTCCACGCAGAAGCCCTCGAAGCGCTCATTCCCCGACAGGGCCTGGAAGTTGGGCCGGCGCATGACATATGGGTTCTCCTGTGTGGGCACAAGAGAGCAGGGTTCAGAGACTGGGCATTTAGGGGCTGCATTTGGGATCCTAGGGCCTGAACCAGGCAGGTGGAGCAGGAATCTGCTCACAGAGTGGCGGTGATGTATTCATAGTACACATTTCTCACTTACAAATGCTCAGAATGGGGAACAGACCTGAAGCCAGGGAAAAAGCACATGGACCCTGCCAGCCCTAGCAGATTGCAGGGAGCCATTTTAATCTCTACCAGCCAACCTGACGTTCATTGGTCTCAAGCTCAAATGCCTAGGAGGGAGGAGGTAACTTCAGAGTGAGTCAGACTGGATGGAACTTGTGCCAAACTGGAACAGGGGCTTTCAGATTTTTTATCACAACCCACAGTAAGACACATTCTACCTTGCAACTCAAGTCACCCACACACATGGACATACGTAACTAGACTTAATTTCATAGAACAGTCTGGGCAATACACTCTGACATTTTCTATTGCTATACTTCATTTTTTTTGCATGGCCAGTAATGACTCACTAAACCAACTTCATGAATTACCAATGGGTCAAAGAGAGTATCTCCCACCAGGATTTAGCTATAGCCCAATGCCACCATGAGGGAGACAGGCCTAAGATGCCAGATGGTAAAATTTCAAGAGAATTTGGAAACTGAGGTTGTTTTGTAAAATCTCCTGATTATAAATCTTAGCAACCAATTCAAATTCTAATACCAATTTTTAAAAAATGCTTTGGAGGTCAAACATACCTGCCAGTTTGCAATCTCTGGCCTAAAGTAAGTTTGCTACATTGATGCTTATTTCTGAGGGGTTTGAGCAAACTACCAACCCAACTGTGCCAAAGAAATGCAAAAGCAGAGAGAATAGTCCAAGTGCTGGTAAGAGGAGGCATGTGAAGACAACGGTAACAAATGAAAAACTTATCTGGACATAGTTTTTGTCTAAATGGTTGTTTGCACAGTGTCACTTAAGACTAATAAATAGTAGGGCTTAGGGAACAACCAGGGAAGAACTGGTAATAATATCCATAACGGTTACAGTGAACTGAACACCCGTCCTGTGTGTGTGTTCTCGATTGCATCACCTTAATTCTTCACAATGACCTTATGCTAAAATGAGCATTATTCCACTCATTTTACATATGTGGACACTGCAGCTTGCAGAGGTCAAGTGAACTCTATCACCTTTCATTCATTCAACACATAATTACTGAGCTCCGTGGTAGATGTGACCATAACACTGTGCTGCTTCTCCCATCAACAGATGGAGTCCATTTTTCCTTGGGTCCGGAATCCTTGGGTCTGAGCTGGCCTTGTGACTTGCTTTAGCCAACAGGATGTGATGGAAGCGATGATGTGTGAATTCTAGAGCCTCGGCCCTCAGAGAAGCTCTTGAGGCCACCGTGAAAGGAATCCCAGGCCAGCCTGCTGGAGTGAACTGCTGGAGTGAACTGAGGCGTGCCAGCCAACAACCAGTACCAACAGCCATTCTGGACCTTCCAGCCCAGTATGGCCACCAGCAGAATGCAGCCACAGCATGCCTAGACTAGACCAACTAAAGAACTGTTCAGTTAGCTGGGCTCGGTGGCTCAGCCTGTAATCCCGCACCTTTGGGAGGCTAAGGTGATTGGATTGCCTGAGCCCGCGGATTCGAGACCTGCCTGGGCAGCGAGACCTCATCTCTACAATAAATCAGCCGGGCGTGGTAGCGCATGCCTGTAATTCCAGCTACTTGGAAGGCTGAGGCTGAAGGATCGCTGGAGCCCAGCAGATCGATGCTGCGGTGGCCGGGAGTGGCCACTACATTCCAGTCTGGGAGACAGAGTGAGACTCCAACTCAAAAAAAAAAAAAGAACTGTTCGGTTGACCCACAGAATTGTGAGAAATAACAAACCGTTCTATTTTTCAGTTCTGGGTTCTGGAGTGGTTTCTTACACAGTGATAGACTCTCCTACTATGGAGCCCTGTCCTGTCGTAGGCTCTGGACTCCAGGATTCCAGGAGCCCCATAGCTGTGGGGTGATGGAATGGAGGGAAGGCAGTACTTCTCTCTTTCTCTCTCTCCTTCTCTACCAAACTGCCTTTCCAAAGCCAAAATTGTAGAACTGGGAACAAGAATGTGAGATAATACTAATAATAGCAACAGCAGCCAGGATTTCTTGTGGGCTTGCTGTGTGACAGCTCTTCTGTCAGCGTGGGAGGGTGGTATTATTACCTCTGTTTTAGAGATGAGGACACTGAGGTCCAGAGAAGTAAAGTAGTAAGTGGCTAAGATGGACAAGTCAGCCTGACTCCACAGCTCTGCTCTTAAGCCTTGTGCTAGACTGAGTGCAAGTGGACAGAATTAGAAAGCAGCCATGGGAGAAGCCAGACAGACAGGGGACCCGGGTATCAAACTTGGAAAATCAGAAATCACGAATCCTAGAGACACATATCCGGCTCCCACACACCCCCCTTGATATACAGAAGAAAGAACCAAGGCTCAAGGAGGCCAGAATGCCTACCCCAAGGCCACCCAGATGAAGTAGGGCAATGGGAAGGAGAGATGGGGCAGAGCTGGGGTTCACAACCCAGTCACTGTGCACTCCAAACCCCTTGTTCCTTCCACTATGCCAAGTTGATCTCCAAATGCAAAACTGAGAAATTTGGGTCCAAGATCTCAGAATCAGGGTCTGAGCTTACAGAGATAAAAAGAGACTGGGGCCTGTGAACACAGCTCAAGATTAGACAACAGTGATCTAGGGCTCAACTTAGAGCCCCAGACCATCAGCACCAAAGGGTCCTTAAGGAGCCCCAAATCCAGGGTTTTCAAACTTCATCAAAGAGACTTAGGCAGAAGCCCAACACTGCAGACAGACAGCAGCAAGATACTGCTAAGTCCAATTCTAAGAATTCATCCTACTAATGGCTATGCTGCAATACACAAAAATGCATGTCAAAGAAAGTCATTGGAGCACTGCTTGTAGTGGGAACAAAGACTGAAACAACCTAATTTGGGACAAGTTAAAAAGATTATCAATGTCATAAAAGAATCCCAGGCAACCACTAAAATAGCAAGGTCTACAAGATATATTAAGAGGAAAAAAACAAGCTACAGAACAACGTGTGCAATATGCTACCCTTTGTGCTTGTATACACACAGCATTTCTGTAAGGACAGTGACCTCTGAACAAAGAAAGAAGGATCACGGAAGGAAGGAGACTGATTTTTCACTCCTTACTCCCAGTGGTAGTTGTTGAATTCTATTTTACCTAGGTTTATATAAACTTCTGTCCCTCTCCCAGTGTAATGCATTTTTTAAAAATTGAAGTATGATATTTACATGTGTATGGAAGTGCAAAGGGTCAAGAAGAGCCAGTGTCTGAATAAAAACTCCAGTTCCTCCTCATTTTTGCCAGCAGTGAGTATATAAAAGTACCAACCATATTTAGTGGTTTTCATTTGCATTTCCCTGATGACCAGGAAAGTCAACCACCTTCTTGTGTTTATTGGCTATTTGGAAATCCTCTTTTGACAAGTCCCTGCTCATGTCTTTTTCTATTTTTAAAAAATTGTGATATGTGACCTTTTTATTGATTTGTGAGTTATTTATACATTCTGGATACAAGTCCTTTGTCTGATGCATGTATTGCAAATGTCTTCTCCCCCTTTGTGGCTTGCCTTTTCATTCTCAGTAGTATCTTTTGGATAAAAAGATTTGATTTTTAATTTTACTAAAGTTCACTATATCAGCTTTTATCCTTTATGGTTAATGCTTTCAGAATTAAGAATTCTGTGCATACCTCAAGATTATGAAGATATTCTCCTGTTTTCTAAAAACTTAATGATTTGCCTTTTACATTTAGGTCTGAAATCTATCCGGAATTGATTTTTATGTATCATGTGAGATAAGAGGTCAGAATATATTTTTTCCCTACGAATAGCTAACTGAACATCACCATTTATTAAAATGATCATTCTTTTCCCCGTTTCCTCCAGTTCTGATAGTCTTTATTTCTTTCTTCTTCTTCTTTTTTTTTTGAGTCAGAGGTCTCACTCTGTCACCCAGGCTGAAATGCAATGGAATGATCATGGTGATCATGGCTCACCACAGCCTCGGCCTCCTAGGTTCAAGTGATTCTTCTGCCTCAGCCTCACAAGCAGTGGCACTACAGATATGTGCCGCAATACCCAGATAATTTTTTTATTTTTTGTAGCGATGTGGTCTTGTTATGTTGCCCAGGCTGTTCTCAAATTCCTGGGCTCAAGCAATCCTCCTGCCTCAGCCTCTCAAAGTACTGGGATTATAGGCATGAGCCACCATGCTTGGGATATTCTTCTTTAGGATTGCTTTGGCTCTTCTTAATCCTTTGCATTTCCATACACATGCAAATATTATATTTCAATTTTTAAAAATGTATAACACTGGGGAAGGGACAGAAGTTAGTAAAACCTAGGTAGCCGGGCTCGGTGGCTCAGCCTGTAATCCCGCGCCTTTGGGAGGCTGATGTGAGAGGATTGCCTGAGCCCGCGGGTTCGAGACCTGCCTGGGCAGGCGAGACCTCATCTCTACAA